AAAATATTTACAAAAATGTGAGGGGTGTACTCACTTCTGTGAGATACTGTATATATACATATATATATATATATATATATATATATATATAAAGTTTGTTTGTTTGTTGTTTGTTTCTTTGTATATCTAAATATTCCAGCAGCTCCTGCCTCTACACGATCTCCTTCAACTAAGTCTCAAACAACAGCTCCAAGTGAGTATTTTTATTTATGAAAAACTGTGTAAACATGAAAATGGAAATGGAAAATGAAAATTCAGTTTATTATTAATCTGGTATGTTGTACTGATTTAATTTGGATTTAATCTGAATGGCATCATTCAGCTTTGATGCCATATCAGGTTTACTTTAATCAGAAAACTGCACAGCTGCTCCCAGAATCCAGGGGTGTGTTTCCTGATAACGTTAACTCTTAGCGCTTCATGAAGACTCTAAATGTATACCTTAACTAAAGGTATACCTTTTGTAGGTGTGTATACCTTAGAAGGTTACTTAAAGGGGAGGTCTAAAGCTATTTCATGCATTCTAACTTATTTACACTGTTAAAGAGTTGGATTCTCATGCTAAACATGGCCAAAGTTTAAAAAAAAAATGAGTTGAATGTACGACGGAGTATTTCTGTGGCAAATACACTCCTTCAGGGTTTGTATAAGTTTCAGAAAGTTTTTTTTTTAGTATGGCCCTGTATAAACGGCACAATTCCTTGTATGGGCACTTCACCTGGAAGGGCACGAGCACACATCAACCAGAGCGAGAGCAAGAGCATGCCCATCAATGTGCTTCAATCGGGTTGCAGAAGTCGTTGGCAGTGCTGCACAGAACTTGCTCGAGAAGGATTTGTCATTTTGTTTTTAGACCATGAAATCAACAGTCACTAAAGAAATTAACTTTTTCATTGTGAGGGAAAGATAACCTTATTCGGCTTCCCAAAGAACCCAGTGTTAAGGGAACAGTGGATACAGTTTGTTCCTCAGGGGCAGCAACAGAGTGCAAGTGTGTTTGTTTGTTTCCGGTATTTTGGTAAAGAATGTTTTATAAACAAATTAAATAAAATATAAGTCAAAGTTTTTGTTCCTGTTTTATTTATATCAATGTCACAGCTTGCAGATGATTGCTTCGTATCCTTGTGACTCTTTATCTCTGCTCACGGCATGCCTCCAGGAGCTTTAGTGTTTCCAGAGAAGCGTAAAACTTATTTTTCTTTTTATAAATATAAAAAAACTAAAGACTCTTTGAAGATATGAAGGATATAATACCACTCAATATTGCAACCCGATCTCATGAAAGTGCGTATAAATAGTACGCCAAATAAAAACGAAAACTTGTGGTATTGATACGCAAAAATGGACTTTGGCGTGTATATGCTACGCGATGGGTAGGTTTAGGGTTGTGGGGTAGATGCGTATCATATGTACGCCAACAATTTCGTATTATATGCACACGAAAACTGCCTATTATACGCACGCCAAACACGTGTATCATATGCACGCCAAAGTCCATTTTTGCGTATCAATACCACAAGTTTTCGTTTTTATTTGGCATACTATTTATACGCATTTTCATGAGACCAGGCTCCAATATTGACATGAGATTGCCAGAAACTGTGTGTTATGTCCCCTTTAAGGTATACCTTTTTATGTGTGACGTTACCAGGTGCTGTCCATATAGGTTGATATCGATGATAGAGCCCTACGTGGGGCTGTTTTCTTAATCCCGCTCCCGCCACTCCCAGCTGCTCTCGCGATTTTTGAGTCCACGCCCGATCCCGCAAACATTCTAATATTGTATATACTTTTCACGCATCAAGGAGCCGCTATCAATATGCGGGGTATGGAAAGCACTTTTGAAAAGAGCGCTCAATGTTAATTTTCACTATTGATTATGTGATCCGCATACTCTGTGTAAAGGGAGTACATCTTACAAGATAAGATATTTGTCAGTGAGCTCAGGATTTGTTGAGCAGCAAATCCTCCAGCATGGTTTAGTCAGTCATCTCTCCTTACTGTCGACCTGTGATCAGTCAAATCTCATTCCTGTAGCTTGTGTTGGATGCAGGGTTGTCAAGTTTGCCTTTTTCCCATGGAAATTGGCAACTTTTAAGCTGTTGCCGTCGGTTGATTTTTTTCCGTGAGTTAAAGGTTTGAAATATTGCATAAATTACATTTGACTGAAAATCTAGTATTGAAATATTTTGCATTCCGCTTATGATAAAACTGCGCTAAATGTTAAGTTGTATAAAGAAAGGGCCACCGGTAGGAAGCCTTAGCTTTGTTTATGGTCATTGTGCAAAACGGTGACTGTAAAATATGTGTTTTAGGTATGGAAATGACAGATTTTGGTTTTGATATTTGGAATATAGTCATTGCACTACTTTGGGCTGTTTTTGGCTCTGCCATTGGTCAGTTTCGTGCTAGTTTTGTCATGCAGACTTGTCATGTTTAATAATATAATACAATTTATTATCATATTCTCATGTATGTTCCCCTAACACAGAGTCTAACACTTCCACTGAGTCTAACACTCCACTGATTGTTGGTGTAGTTTTGGGAGTGATCTGTTTTCTCTTCATCATCACTTTCATTCTCTTCTTCTATTCAAGAAGGTGAGTTGCCAGTGTCATCAGAGAAGTAAATACTGGATATATTTCAAGATACAAAAGTCTTTTAGATTCATTTTATTGAATGTTCAACATTTCTTTATTACCCTCTTTTCCAGACAAACCAAAAAACAATGTCCAGGCATCCTTGTACACACCATTAGGTAACTTTGTTTGAGATGTTTATAGTTGAATATTTATTTTACAAAACTTAAAATTGTTAATGCATTGCCTTTTACTTTCTTTTTCCAGTAATAAAATGTAAGTAAATTTGTATTATTAATCTATTAAATTTTAACGTTGAAACGTGATTCTTTACACTTTATTGTATGTTTTTACATGTTTGTTTTTGTATTATGGTACACAGTAATATTGCTTTGAGAATAGAAGATTATGAAGAGTACTTTAAGCAGAAACATAAAGATTCCAACTGTGGTTTTGCTGAAGAGTATGAGGTACACATGGGAAACACACACACACACACTTTCTATGATAACATTATCAAATTGTTTAATCTGGACTTGTCACAGAAATGCATTTAGATATTATAATAGTGTTATCAAAGCCTATATCTACAGAAGTGCTGTGTTGTTGCAGGAGTTGAAAACAGTTGGAACGGCACAGTCCAAAAACACTGCCCTGGCTATTGAAAACAAGCTGAAGAACCGTTACAGCAATGTGCTACCTTGTGAGTAGCCTGCCTGTTGCATGTTGTACTAAAAAGTTTGCATGAGTTTTCCCCAATCACAGGCTTCAATCTGATTAGCTGGCTGATGGATTGTATCTGGACTATTCACACTGAAATCACATTGCACAAAGTTAGATACATTTTCAGTTCATTTCCTGAGGCACACAGCCAAAGCACAACCAAAACATTGTTATTCTGCCAGATGCATAGTTTTATTTGTTAACTGCTAGAGGGCCAAAAGTTGCATATTGTAGCTTTAAGGAAATTAAGAATAAAAAGTACATTATATGTAGAAACACATGATTATAATGATTATCTAAACTAGACAGAGGTGATAACAATCAGAAACCAAGAAAAAACAGAAATGAATGAAAAGGAAATGTATACAGACAATATGTGACAAAACAATATCAAAATAAGCATCCTTGGAATATAACAGAACATGACAGGTATGATGCTACAATGTGATTTTATATACAAAACAGATGCATAATTTTTAGTTCATAATTAATAACTACTTTCTGATACTAATTGCATCATGTTGGCCTTTATCAGATGATGCTTCAAGAGTGAAGTTATCAATGTGTGGCAGTCCCTTTGATGACTACATCAATGCCAACTACATGCCAGTGAGTATATAAACAGAAGTGAAATTTCCTGAAACTTTTTTTTAGTCATGTCTAAGTATGTTTTCACTATTTTCTATTTTTTTTTTTTTTTTTTTTTTGTTCAGGGTTACAATTCAAGAAAAGAGTTTATAGCAGCTCAGGGTCCGCTGCCCACCACAGTGAATGAATTCTGGAGAATGGTCTGGGAGAAGAATGTCCACACCATAGTGATGCTGACCAAATGCAACGAGATGGGACGAGTACGTTTTCATTGGGAAATATAATTTTTTGGTGTTTTATATAGGGT